TTTTATACGGTAATTTCTAAATGTTATTTTCAGTGTTTAGTCTTTTTTTTTATTATTAGACATTCATTATTTGTCTAGTTAACTATTTAAGATAATTAAGAATTTCAGGCTACAACCAAAGAGTTTGTATTTGTCTCGCTGGGTATACTTGACAAGCATTGTTTGAAGGTTAAGAAAAGTTCGGAGATAGTCGTAAGTCGTATATATCAGAGAATAAGTTTGTGAACGTATCTTGTGTATTTAATTCACTGTAAGAAGCTATATAGACATTAAAGTGGCACAAAGTTTGTGAGGCCAAAGTTCTGATGCTAATCCACAAGAACATTCGTGGTACCAATTGAAAAGCAATATTACAAAAATTAGCTTATTTATTTGTTTCGGATATTCGCGTAAAGCTACAGGAAAGCCGTATGCGCAAAGCGTCCCTAATTTTGAACTGATAGACCAGAAGGAAGGCATCTAGTCAACAATACCCATCAGAAACTATTGGTATACTCTAATCAAATATAAAGATTTGATTATCACTGTTATAACATACTTATGATCCCAAAGTGCGGAGAAGCAGCGGGACGCGAACCAGGGGTCTTCGGATTCACAGTCCAGCACACTATCCACTAAGTCATGCCATAAACTACGGCAACTTTGGGAGACCATACAAAGAAAATGGAAGCAAATGCCCTTTTCCTTCCGTTCTAGTCGTCAAAAAAAGTCAACATACATCATGTCTGATTCGTGTTTTCATAGTTGAGGAGGGCCTACTATTTCTCTTTGTATCCCTGCATAAGTTCGTAGTTTCTCCATTCAGCTGATAAAATTCATTCTTTATACGCACCACGTTTCAAAAGTCTTAAATTATTATTGCCCTGTGGTTAGGACACTCAATTCGAGATCTTGGGTCGCAGGTTCGAACCCCATCACTAAATATGCTTGTCCTTTCAGCCTTGAAGAGCGTTATAACGTGACGTTGAATCCCATTATTCGTTGATAAAAGAGTTGGTGGTTGATGGTGTTAACTAAGTGCCTTCCCTCAAGTACATCACTTCAAAATTAAGGACGGCTAGCGAAGATAACCTTTGAGTAGCTTTGCGCAAAATTAAGAACAAACTTTATCGCCCCGTTCCCTGACCCACAAAAGAGGTTGGAATACAGACAACGTTTTTTAATTCTTATTCTCGTTTCCTTGACAAGTTTTTCGTATATTATTTCTATTTGCATACTGATGACAGTGGATTTTGCTGTCTTTTTATTTCCTATAGCACCTTGTGTTATCTGTGATTAGATGTCCCAGCTAAATAAACTGTTCCAAGATGCTTTTGTTTTACTCTGATTCTTGAGATTTTGTCTTCTTTGATACAACCATATTTTTAGTTTTCGTCACATTCAACCGTAGCTCAAAACCTTCACTATTTTACTCTGGTATTATCTACAAATAAATATACACCTTCAATACTGTTTGTTATTATCTGTATACTGTGGTATATTTATCAGTCTTACTCCACATTTTAAATCATTTTCTTCATCCATTGTTATAAAGATGAATTCTTAATATAAATCAAAGAGACTTGGTGACAATACACATCCTTGACTTACTCCCTTCTTCATATTAACAGTGCTAATATGTCGAACTCAGTCACTGTTGCAAAAGTGTTAAATACCTTTCCTCTACGTTAAAATACTTTTATATGAGAGCTTTCGGCCCTCTTACCGGAGCCTTAATCGGGCAACATTGTACTCATTTGTTACTTTGCTGCTAGGGGTTATTCTGCTGCTTATTCTATTGTCTTTGTGACTTTTCGCTGCTCAATCTATAGATAATGGGTTATGCCAAGAGATAAGCTGACCACTAAACCTTACTGAATGGTGTGTTCACACGTGCTAAGACTAAAACATTCACGTGTATTGAGATTGGTATCATCACATGAATGAAGAATGTTGCCTTCACATGTATTAGGACTAAAATATTCACGTGTATCAAAACTGATGTCTTTACATGTATTAAGAATAGTGCCTTCACGTATATTAGGACTAAAATATTCACGTGTATCAAAACTGATGTCTTTACATGTATTAAGAATAGTGCCTTCACGTATATTAGGACTAAAACATTCGCACGTATCAAAACTGATGTCTTTACATGTATGTATTAAGAATAGTGCCTTCACATGTATTACAAACACTGGTAACTTCAAATGTATCAAAATGTTTTCCACATCTATTTAGTTTGATGTCTTCGTATATATTGAGACTGATATAAATTCAAGAATATAAATGTCTTCACATTTATGATATTCAAGTGTATAACGACAGGTGTATTTATATCTATAAAGATTATTGTCTTTACATGTGCAGTAACTGGCGTCTTTACGAGTGTTAAGAATGCTATTCATAGGTGTATAACTGATTTATTCGCGTGTATTAAAGCTGATATTTTCACGTTTACATTAAGAATTATGAAGCCATCATCATTTGTTAATACTGATGGCTTCTTCTGTATTACTACATATGTATGATTGATGTATTCGTGTATATTGAATTTATTAACCTATACGAGTACTGAAGCTAATTTCTTCATCTGTATTACTACATATGTATGATTGATGTATTCGTGTATATTGAATTTATTAACCTATACGAGTACTGAAGCTAATTTCTTCATCTGTATTACTACATATGTATGATTGATGTATTCGTGTATATTGAATTTATTAACCTTCACGAGTACTGAGGCTAATTTCTTCATCTGTATTATGAAATAGGCCTTTTCATGTATTAAAAATGGTGTATTTGGACCCACCACAGCTTTAATCCAGCCTTGTGGGTTTTAGTTTTTGATACTATCATCCACTTTTCTTTTCCTGTTCATTTGTTTCCCAAAGTTACCATACATTATTACCCTCTCTTATGCAATGCCACTTTGCAAGCGACTTTACAAAATTTAGATTGAACATATCATAATTTTACATCAGCAGGACGATGTTATTTTCACCGTTATCTTCCGATGATATTTAAAAGTCAGAACCAATTAAACGTCGTCCATCGGGCATTACGTGCATATTTAGTATTTCTACTCTGTCTATTTATTAAAATGTTTTAAATCGATTTGATGTTGAAGCGTTTCGAATGATACTTGTCTTCAGATTAGGCTGTTTGTCTTGGACGTCAAATCGTTACGCTTTAAATTCCAATTTACAATAAAACGCACTAACGATTTTTTTTTTGAAACCGCATCTTCAGAAATACTAAATTTTTCAGCACTACATTTTTGGAATTCTCTTTTCATTCTGTAAGGCAATAATTTCTGTTTGTTTTTCACTGTTTTATTCTATGTTCCTTTTTTTCTGCTTTATCAATGTTTTAAATTTGTTAAGTCTTTGGAAGATATTGGCAAGTTACTGGATTTTCACTACAATTGGTTCAATTGAAAACACGTGAAAAGAAATGTATTATCATGAAAATGACACAAACCTACTCAAATGAATTTAAATATGCTCAGTTGTTCGTGCACAATTATGTCATGATACTAATTATAAAGCAAATAACCGTTTGTTTGTTTTTTTTATTGTAATTAAACTTACTAATAGTTCCGATATTCAGAAAGTTTGGAACCACTTTTTATTTCTCTTGGCAATATTTCAAAAATTGCGGGCATGTAAAATGTCATCTATACTCGTGTAGTTTCCAGTAGGTTTTTCTCTACATTCCTGAGAACATATATTACATCTAGAATTATAACAAGTGATTTACTATCAGGAAATCTTAACTTGATTAGGCCTAACCAAATTACATACCACATGTTACATGTATGAATGTATATAACTAACACATGTATCAGTAATTGGGACAATTTAGAAAATACATATAACTGATTTCGAACTTCCTTCTAACAGACTTAGCAATAGTAAAATATAAGTTAGAACTCAAATTCAATTCTTAAATGTGGAAATTAAAACAAAACAAACAATAGTACCTGAAATTATTCAATAGTTTAAAACATGAAGTTCACGTGGTAGATTCTTTGTATTGTAATTACAAAACAATACGTGTATAAGGTTTATTTGTTTGGTGTTAAGCACAAAGCTACACAATAGGCTTTCCGGTTTCTAGCGTTGTAAGTCCGTAGACATTCCGCTGTGCCACTGGGGGGCTTGATATAAGTAGACGCCTTTATTGTTTCTTTCAACAATGGTTCCATTTAGCGTAGATTTTTGTAGAATAATAAGTCCTTTTTCTTGTATGATTCCTACTTATGGGCGGTTATTATTAAACCACATTCTTATCGTCCACGATCTTGGTAACGCATAGATCACAATCTTGCCAAAACAACAACGACTAAGTATGTGATTAACGTGTTTCTTACAAAACAAGAAAACCAGACATTCCTAATCTTTACTGGTCGCAGAAAAAATACAAATTTAAATACGTAGTATGCTAAAATAATTTTCACTGGTCAACCAGGAGTTTCACGTGATATCATGTCACGTGCTCTGGATGTCGTGATCTTCATTTTATTCACACACATACACACACAGGGCTTATCTGACACACAAAAGAATGTCAAATTAGGTATCAGTGTGTAAGTGTAACAATGTGGAAAATATTAACATCTTCCTCTATTACAGTAAAATAATGTAGAAGTTTGGGAGTAAATGGGATGAGTGTAGATAACTGAAACTAATAACTATTTTTTGGAGAATAATATAAAAAAACTGTTAATCTTGGAATATTTAATCTGAAAGATATCTAAAAAATTGTCCTTTTTATGCTAATCTTTGAATTTGGAACCTAGAGAGTGAATACTTGAAAAACTTACCCTATTTTTGTCAGGAAATACCTAAAATTGTCTGTTAAGCATCTTGGCTGCTAACGATATTTTCAGCCTATATCACCTTACCCCAGAACGCGTCTTTCACAGCTTTCACCACTGTAGTTAGTAAATACATCTTTTACACAAGCAACAGTTAAACTGCGTATTAAACTTTTATAGCTATTACTAGACTAACCTGTTAAGTTTTCATTAGATTCATTTACACCGCCAGGTGATGGAGATTCCCTGTGAGGACTTGACGAACACGATGACGACCCTGGGCTGGTGAGGTCAAAATCTCCTAGGTTGGGTGAATCTTTTGTAGGCAGAGGCATAGAGTTAGTGCCAAAAGCAATGGATGGGACAACGGCGGTTAGTCCCGGCACAGATTCCCTTAAATCCGAAACTCCGGCCAATCCTCCTCTAACACCACGAAAGGAAGAGCCGTACAAGTGTGGATTGACGGTGAGGCCCATATGAGGCGGTTGTGAGGGCAGTTCAGGGGAGTGTAAAGCTACTGGCTGACGGTGGAAAGCCAAGCCAGGGTACAGGCCAGCTTGGGAGAAGAACAAGTAGCCGTTGTAGAGCACGGGAAATGCTAGTCTGCTCGGCCCAGACGACGCTGAAACCGGGGCTGACATCAGCGAGTCTATGGAGAAGGTTGACGACGACGCAGACACACGCTGCATGGGTAGGACAGAGGTACAATCCGAGTCCCGAGAATCTAGTACACGTACTGTATGTGCAAGGTTCTCAGCATTGTCTGACTTTCTCTCTTTTCAACTTGTCGGGGGGAACTTAACTTCCTTGTGGCACGGTTATTGGAATGTCTAAATCGAGAGGAGTCTTCTATAAAGCCCCATCCGTCTTGATTAAATTACATCGTTTCTTGTTTAGTCCTTCGGTCGCTGTTTGTACCATGTGACCCAAGCTTCTAAATTGTGATTGGCTGGTCATGTTAAGGCCGGTACTTGCCTCGGGGTTGCAGAAGCAAGCACGAGGGCGAAGGTGCTCTGTGATTGGCCTCTGGTATCAAGTAAGTACCGTCCCCCGTTATTTGTTGTGATAAATTGATTAGTTTTCGATTTAGAACACCGAGATCTTTCTTCTCTTGCGCCCAGTACGTATTTAGAGGAACTGAGCAGGCTAAATCAACATAACCCGGGGTTTGAACAGAGTGCAAGGTCACAAAACAGAAACCCCCAATCTTTCGGAGTTGTTGAGGAAATATTCCTCTAGAATTAATCATCAGTTATGACGTTTGCAGAGGACGACCGCTCTTCAATAAAATGTAAATCAATCATTGCCAACATCAGCCCTAAGTGCCTAATATTTAACTTATTCTCAAAATATATTTCAACTGCAGAAGATCACTGCCGTTTTTGTTTTTTTTTACCTAATCATTCATTATCCTTTTGCTGAGTGTCGGGATTTTCAAATTGTTGCATGATAAACCAAAAATCACGTAACTACATCAAACTTATTGTGAAAAGTCCGGGTGAATGTTCTAAAAAAACCTGTCTAGCGTTTACAGTATGAGATATCTTATGGGTTAGAAGAAAGTTCTATTAAGTAAGTTAGTTATGGTTGGGTTGTTTTAAGCCATTGTAAAATATTTTTAAACGTACCACCTGTTTATATAAACATCATTCAACCTCATGCCCTAGCCATCCATCAACTACTTCAGGCATCTGTTTCTAGGAGCTCAAGATAAAAGAAAGTACACTTGACTTTAAAATAACAGGGGGGATTCTGCCTTGTGAAGCGGTAAGAAGACTTATTTTGCCCTAAAGGACATACACGACATTAACTGGTAAAACAAGAGCACTATTAAACGCTGATTCGGGAATAAATTAAGATAGATGAGTAGGTGGGGAAATCGGATTAAACAGATTGCTTTAATAGCAGATGGTGGTAATATGATATTGTTTCCAGTGCTGTTTTATAGCATCTAATTTCCATCTTCAGATTGGTCACAAGAGTATAATCTCTGTTAGATTTTTTTCAAAGAGCTAATGAAGGTTTTGCACAACACATCTGATGTGGTTGACAAATTATTACATATTATTCTTTGCTTTCAATCATAAGTTCTTTGAATTACTAAGTGAATTAGCTATAGACTATTAAACCAGCTCAAACCTTGACGATGTAATATAATTACACAAATTATTATATTCTGATCTCAACTTCCTTACCAACAACAACAACATTTCTTAAACCTAAACTTCCCAGCCTGGTATAAATATGAATAACTTTGTTTTACGTTAACTATCAAAATCCAGCTCATATAGATGATGACTTAACTCCAAAACTAGTGCTTCGATCCATATACTGAGTGAATAAATAAATAATTATGTGGTTTCTCATTTTCCGGGGGGGGGGGGCAAGAGCCCCCCGTACGAACGCCCGTGCTCCGATTTTAATTGTTTGTTTTTAAATGTCTCTGACGACATTTCTGTTTCCAATTACACCTACCGAAATCTGCTGTTGATTCAGTGAACCTTTACTACGATGAACTTCTCAAAGAAACAAAAATCAACTGTGATTCTTTTTCTAAAGTTGTGGACTGATTTTTCACTTGAAAGGATTAATTCTTTTAACTATATCTTTGTATGGTCAGTTGCATATCTGTTACTCCCTTCCTTAATTGTTGTTGTTGTTTTCACGCCCCCCAGTGGTATGTCTGCGGACTTACAACGCTTAATTACAAACAAACAAGTTTGTTTTTGTTTTTTTCATCTAGTACTATTTTTAGTATAAAACAACATCCGAGGATGTATTGTTTGTTATGGATTTCGCGCAAAGCTACACGAGGGCTATCTGCGCTAGCCGTCCCTAATTTAGCAGTGTAAGACTAGAGGGAAGGCAGCTAGTCATCACCACCCACCGCCAAG